GCCGCCGCAGCACCGCCCCAGCACCGCCCCGGCACCGCCCCAGCACCGCCCCAGCACCGCCCCGGCACCGCCCCGTACCGCCCCCGTGCCGCCGCAGCACCGCCCCAGCACCGCCCCAGCACCGCCCCGTACCGCCCCCGTGCCGCCGCAGCATTGCCGCAGCATCGTCCCCGTACCGCCCCTGTACTACCCCCTCACCGCCCCCGTACCGCCCCGCCCCCGTGCGCCCCCATCGCAGGCCGGCAGAGGCGGGGCGGTGTCTGTGCGTGTGTCTGTGCGTGTGGCTGCGTCCGTGTCTGTGGCCGGGCCGCGGCCGCCATGCTGTCGCTGGCGCTGCTCCGCCGCCCGCTCGCCGCCGCCGCCCGCCTGGCCCTGCCGCGCTGCGGCCCGCAGGTAGCGGCGGGGGCGCGGGGCGGGTGGGGGCGATACCCTCCGGGCGAGGCCTGTCGCTGTCGCGACGCCGTCTGTCACGAGCCCGCGTGCGGGAACGGGCGGGCCGAGCGCCGGGCCCTGCCCAGAGTCGTGTGAGGTCCTTTGGGATCCGTCCCTGGGTCACGGGATCGAGTCAGTTGGAAAAGACTGCCGAGATCAGCGAGTCCAACTCATGCTCGAACACCCCCACCCTGTGAGCCAGACCGTGGCAACAGGTGTCGCGTCCAGCCTTTCCTTAAACATCTGGAGGAAGGGACGGTCTCCACCACGGCCCTGGGCTGCACGTTCCAATGTTCCATCACCCCTTCTGTCAATAATTTCTTCCTGGTGTCCAATCTGAACCGTTCCCGCTGCAGCTTGAGACTATGAGCTCTTACCCTGTTACTGTCCTCGGCCTGCGAGAAGACGCCGACCCGCGCCTGGCTGTACCCTTCTTTCAGGCAGTTGTATAGAGTGATAAGGTCACGCCTGAGCCTCTCCTCCAGGCTGAACACCTCTAGTTTCCTCAGCTCCTCCTCATAAGACTTGTCCTCCAGACCCTTCACCAGCTCCATTGCCCTTCTCTGGAACAGAAGTGGTCCTGCAGTGTCCCACTATCTGCCTAAGCAGCAGAAAGCTTCAGGGTCTCTCATTCTCCCACAGTAATCCCGTGTGGGCCCTACTGCAGGCTCCCCACACAGTCAGGATCCTGCAGGGATTTGTAACAGCCCGAAGGAGCTATGACTCATGGCAGCCAATGATGTGTCATGCTAAAAGGGCCATTGAGGAACAAAGCCTTTGGTTTTCACCTTCTGTATTCAACGACCTGGAAGTGCAGCCAGTTGGGGGTCAGGCTCTTCTCCCAATTAACAAGTGGCAGAATTAGATGAAGTGGCCTCAAGTTGTCTAAACCAGGAGAGGTTTAAATTGAATATTAGGAAAAATTTATTCGCTGAAAGGTTATAAAGCACTGAAACAGGCTGCCCAGGGGAGTGGTCGAGTCACCATCCCTGGAAGTGTCTGAAAAATGGATAGATACATCACTTGAGGATATGATTTAGTGGTGGATGTGGCACATCTGGATTCACAGTGAATAGGATGATCTTAAAGTAATTTCTAAACATAAACAAAAATAACAAAAGTTATGTGGCTTGAGTTGCATGGTGCTCATGCCTGCAGGTTCTTGTGAAATAGGATATGTCAAAAATCCATCCTGTAGCTGCCTCTGTGTAAACATGGGCTAAGGCCAAAGCTGTGTTTTGGCCTTCATTTTTCATGTTTTATTTGAGGGGTGAGTAGCATGTTCCAAGTTATTGAGGCAGGTGCAAAAGTACGCTTAGTTAGGGACTCCCAAAGTGTTTTGTCTAATATGAACAGAAAAACTGTTCTTGATCAGCCCTTGGGAAGCAGCCAGTAAAGGGCTAGGTTGTGGACTTAAGCAATCTTGTGTTTGAATGAATCACTCTTTCCCAAGTGTTGGTATCTTTTCCTTTGGTTTGCCAACAATATATAATTTGATAATACTGGCATTAGATTGCAAGTAGAAAACACAATGCAGTAGCATGAGTCGGTTGAGTAAGCACAACACAGGCAGATGTTGGTGTTGCTTCCCCTTTGGTGGCATCTCAGCAGCCTTGCTTCTGAATGATGTCTTTAGCCAAATACATCTTGCTGCTGACTTCCTGAGAAGGAGGTTGAGAGAAGGAAAATCCTTCTTTGTTATGAGCTATTAATTAAACAGTTGAATGCATCAAATAAAAGACACATCACAGTCTGTTGCATTGCCAAAAGGAGTGGCAGCAAACAATGGACATTGGAACTGCTTCCAAAGAAAAGTGGCAAAAGTTCCTTCATAGTGGACATCATGAAGCAAGTACCCTTCTCCCAATCTGCAGCAACAGATCCTTTTGTGATATGGCATTAATTAAAGAATACAACTTTCTGGGTAGAGACTTATTTTTACTATTTTTTCTTACTATTTTCTTTCAGGTATGCCTTGCTACGGGGCCCAGACAAGATAATGGCGTTTTCTACGAAATTCGCACATATGATGTTAAGCCAGCGAAGATGAAGGAGTTTTTGGAAGCGATAGACAAGTACTTGCACATTCGCACGGCTCACTCGGAGCTGGTGGGATTCTGGTACTCAGAGCTGGGAGCCATGAACAAGGTGTTTCACATTTGGAAGTACGGTATGGTCAGCATCCCTTTGCGCTGCTCTGCTCTCTTGTGTGTCCCCTGCCTCCTAGGCAAGAAGGTGAGGGGAATGCTTACCTGGCTTTTATTTGTTACTCTTACTGTGAGGAGGTGCCCCCAAAACATTGCTCCTGTACTGATTAGTGACAAGAGCACTTCAGAGATTGTCAGGACAACTTTGACATCTTGGGATGAGAAAGTTGCAAATGTTCTTAAACAGCAGTCTCTGTTCAAAACTGGTACGATAGAGGAACTGTGTCAGAGTGTTTCATTCATGGTGAATATTTTTAATTTAGAGTCAGTTCCACAAATGTCTTGAAACTTTCAAAACTAGTGGAGAAAAGGAAATATGCACATATATGCAGCCTGTGTGTGTTTATAGGCATGTAAAATTGTTCTTGTATTTTAGCTCAGAGTACCAGTCACTTCCATAAAAAAAAAAAATGAGCATGCAGTTTGCACGCTTAAACTCCTTTCTGCAGTGGATCTGTAATGAGGTAGGAAGCCACTCCACCAGGTCTGACTTCCCAGGCGTGCAGAGTGGTTTTTTTGCAGCTTTAACCTTGCTAGTAATACAATTTTTGCAGTATGATCAACTTTTTATGTTGTTGGAGTCGGTGCTGACATGGAAGGTGCAAGTGAGCCAAAAAAAGCTATGATTATGCTAAAAACTAGGTGTGTTGGTTGTGCTTTTTGTGGAGCCAAAGGGAAGTGATACTTGGGTTACAGAGGGGTAGGAAGGCACACTGGTATAATTCCCCTTGAACACCTACTGCAGTCCAGGTCTATCTGCATGTTGAGACAGTGTGGTCATTGAAGTCCAGTGCGATCACAGTACCTGTTTAGATTAAAGGATCACTCCTTTTGTTTTGGAGGGATGAATCATGGAATCATAGACTCTGAGAATTGTTTGGTTCCTCTCAACCGTGTTGCTTAGGGCCACATCCAGCCTGGCCTCTAGCACTTTCAGAGACTGGGCATCCACAGCTTCTCTGAGCAATCTGCTCCAGTGGCTCAACATTCTCGGAGTGAAGAATTTCTTCATTAAATCCAATCTAACTCTTGCTCCATCCCAGAAGATATTTAAGGCCAGGCTGGATGGAGCTCTGAGCAACCTGGTCTAATGGCAGATGTCCCTGCACGTGGCCAGGAGATTGAAACTAGGTGATGCTTAGAGATCCCTTCCAATCCAAGCCATGCTGTGATTCTAAATCTACCCTCTGTCAGTTTAAACCCATTCCCTCTTCTCCTATCATTACATGCCCTTGTAAAAAGTGCCTCTCCAGCTCTCTTATAGGCTCCCTTTAGCTGCTGGAATGCTGCTGTAAGGTCTCCCTGGAGCCTTCTCTTCTTCAGGCTGAATAGCCCAAACTCTTTCAGCCTTTCTTCACAGGGGAGGTGCTTGAGCGCTTGGATGATCTTCATCACCTCCTCTGATGTCAGTCATTCTTCCCTCATCCACCAAAGCTGTAACCCCATCACAGAAGGCCACTGGATTAGTCAGGCACAGTTTGCCCTTAGGAAAGCCATGTTGGCTGTCACCAATCACCTCATGTTCTTCTATGAGCCTTGGCATCATTTCCATAAGGATCTGCACCTTGATCTTGCCAGGTACAGCGGTGAGACTGACCAAGCTGTAGTTCTGCAGTTCTTCTTTATGTTCCTTTTTGAAAATGGGATGCCATAACTTCTCAAATACAACGAATTGTGGCTTAGCCACTTCCTCTGATAGTTTCCTCAGGACCCACGAATGTGTCTCATTGAGTCCCATTGATTTGTGCACCTTCATGTCCCTTAGATGGTCTCAGACTTGAACTTTTCCTACAGCAGGTGGTTCTTCATTCTCACAGTCCCTGCCTTTGCCTTTTGTGACTTGTGTGGTCAGGCTGGTCCAGTGCAGACCAAGGCAAAAAAGGACATTAAGCACCTCAACAATTTTCATTACCTGGGCAGCCATGTCTTTCTTTTCCTTCAAGAAAGGGCATTTCATTTGTCAATATTTTGAGTTCACTTGCATTTATAAATTGTCCTGCTTCTCAGAACATTTTAGTCTTGGCTATTGTTACTATCTCTAAATAAAAAAAGTAATTAAAAAAAATCTGTGGGAAACCTTTTAAATGCAAAAGTAACAGAAAACCTATACCTTTTGTTTCCTAACAGTGTTTTACATGTCTAATTGTGGTGGTTCGTCCCCCCCACCCTAAGACCACACTGTGATCTGAGAAATGAACAAACTTTACCACATCCTTCCTCCTTGATTCATCAGATCTCTTTTTACATAATTGCTATATTTACCTCTTAGACCCAAGATACTGATATTTCTCAAGATTCTTCCCATTCTCAGATGCTGGATTTTTCATTTGTAATACTGGGAGCTGTCTGCATAAATGTATTGCTTAAGATGCCTCTGCAGCCTAAGCAGTTGAAATTCACACTCTTAATTAAGTGGATTTGTTTTGCATTAAGGAAAAGAAAAAGAATAAAAGGTTTAGCTTTTGGGCATTTAAGATCTTTTTATGTAACTGAACACACAAACATTAATTCTACACTTTTAATGTCATTTTATATAAGCCAAACCACATTTATTAATTTTTTTCTTTGTAGGCTATTACTTCTGATTTTTATTTCCACTTCATTTCTGTATCCACTGTGCTTTCTCCAAATCTTATCCTTGGTAACTGTTGCTCCATCAAGTGGTCCCTGCAGTTGCCATATGTAAACCTTTTTTAACAGTAAAATTGCTTAACTTACTTTAACTATTTTGTAAACTTACTTGGAAAATTTCATGTGGCTTGAATCCATTTTAATTTGGGAGCTAAAACAGATTTTGAAGGTAGTTTTGCACAATTTAAAGGAAACTTACCACATCTGCTTTGAGCTAATATGATGCCTAAAAATATTAGTTTCAAAATTAGGTAAGTATAGTTTGCCTTCTTGTGATTATACATTTTGATTTGGCCTGATGTGATATCATATGCATTTTCATGTTGTTTTTTTTTTCTTTCTTACAGATAATTTTGCCCACAGAACAGCAGTCCGGCATGCACTAGCAAATGACAAAGAATGGCAGGGAAAATTAATCTCTGTGATTCTCCCCTTAGTAGAGAAGCAGCACAATGAGGTTGCTTATCTGGTGCCCTGGTGTCAACTTGGGAAGCCTCCAAAGGAAGGGGGTGAGCTTATCTTTTCTTTTGCAGATTGAAGTTACTAACAAAAAATGGCTTAAAGTTTAAACCAGGTATTGCATAGTTTTATGACCCTTTATATAACAAAGGCATGTACATGCACCCATGTGGAAAAGGTGACATAACACAGATGAGGGACAGTTTTTCAGAAGGATTTTACACTGACATACATCAGTAACTGACTAGAGCGCTGATCCTTAAGGTTGTTAATTATCAGGATTGTGACTTGCTAAATGAGCACGCAAAATGGTAATGTCACAGTAGTGGTCAGAGCAGTCATCCTGGACTTTGTCTGTCTATCAGTGAGAGGGAATTTCCTGCATCATCATTGTTCTCTTTCACAGAGAGATTTTCCTCTATCAATTTGCTTTGATGTTACTGCTTCTTTCACATAAAGTTTAAAAGATTCCCTACTTTTTTAAAGATACATGAAAGTCACACATAGGGATCTGCTCCTTGACCTTGCCAGGCACAGAGGTGATACTGACCAAGCTGTAGTTCTGCAGTTCTTCCTTATGTCTCTTTCTGTAACAATAATAGGTTAGGTGTAGAAGTCGTGTCCCTATGTATTTTAATTCTCTCTGTAGCAAATTTGGTATTAATAATATTTACTGTTCCCCAATTTATGAACATTGGCAGGCTTTCTTGCATGAAGAGACAGGGAACAGACCTTGCTTCAGCCCTCAGCACATGTATAGATAGAGTAATCTTTGTTGTTTATTTCCCCAGGATTTGGAATTTTATGCTGCTACTGTTGAATTTGAAAGCAGTCTAGTTTTCTCTAAAATCTGGAGAGGTGACTTCAAATACTGTTGCAGTTTATCTCCAGCCCATTGCTGGAGAGTAACAGCAGACACTGCCAAGTAGCAAGTGTCTGGCTTTCTACTACTGTGTCAACAACTGCGATCTGAAGTAACTACCTGAACAGAAAGAAGACAAGTAACTTTTAGTGGGACTGGAGTTTTTTGGCAAATTATGCCATTTCTGTACAAATAAGGGAGCTCGCTTGGCACAGCAGAGGTGCTAAACTAGTCCTGCTGTGTTGGTTATGCTGTCAGATCTTACTGTGATCAACTGCCAGGAGTCAAAGAGGTTTGTAATATCATAAACCACTTCAATGCCAGAAAACATCACCAGTCTTAGAAAAGACACCCGGCATTGCTCAAGCAGCCACACAAATCCCTCAGACAAGTATGAGCATTTGTGATACCTGCAAAGTAGTCTGAATGTCCCGAAGTTTCCATGCAACATTGAAAATTGAGAAGCTGGGCTTTGTGTGAAACCTTCTGTTCTTCAGGGCCCCGGTACTTAGATTTACCCTTGAACTAACAGCAGCTAGTGAGCCTGTGCTCTTGTGAGCCTCTGGAAGCTGTGAGCTCTTTTGCGTGTTGGAAGGAAAGGGCAGTTTCCTGCTGTCCCCAAATGGAAGGGAAACGTTATACTGATCTCACAGCAAATACACTGTGGCTATGAGACACAGTTCAAGATCTGGTATATCAATTTATATTTCCTTCCTTGTGGCAGTGTTTGCCTTTTCTTCTAGGTGTATATGAATGGGTTACTTTCCAGATGAAGCCTGGTGGGCCAGCATTGTGGGGTGAAGCATTTCGAGCTGCAATCAATGCTCACATCAACACAGGATATACCAGGCTGATTGGTGTTTTCCACACAGAATATGGATTACTTAACACAGGTACTCATCAGTTTCTGATACAGACTTTGGCATGGGAAGGGGCAGAGGCAGAGAGACAAGCCCCTGTCCTGGACCAGGATTGGCCAGCTTGCTGGAAATGTTAGTGTGGATCAGCAAGGTCCTGTAAACAGTCCTTGAACCCAGCTTTGTGTATTGGGTTATAGGCTTAAACCAGTTGCCACAGTCTCAGATCTGATGTTAATCTGATGTCTTGTTACTGCAAGGCATGTAACAGATGAAGGCAAATTGCTAGGACTTAGAGTATGTGCTGTATTGCAGCATAATAGTGCTCAGCTGACTTTATTTGTACTTCCTCAGTCCATGTGTTGTGGTGGAACGAGAGCCCAGATCACCGAGCAGCAGGAAGACACAGTGCCCATGAAGATGCTAGAGTTGTAGCAGCTGGTAAGACATGATGAATCTAGAGAACTCACTTGTGTTACCTGCATGCTTGCTGAGAAAAGTATTACTTTTTACTGGAATACTGTCTTAATTAAATATACATTTAATTTTAGTGCGCGACAGTGTCAGATTCTTGGAGTCCCAGCAAAATGTGCTTGTGATTCCTCTGCCATGCTCACCGCTGAAGTAACCTTCTTCTAAAGGATGTAACTGATGACAGAACAGACAAGATGGAAGTGCTGTCAGCAAGTGACATGGATCCCCATATCCTCATCAGCTGAGCTATTCTTTTGTTGGCAAAAAAATAGATGCAAAATGCTTATCCACTAGCAATGTAAATCAGCACTCTTGATCCCAATCATTAAACAAGAAGTTGATGATGATGTTCCTACATCTCCAGGACAAAGAACTTGAGCCATATCATGATACAAACCATGCCTCACCAATCTTCTATTTTAATCCCTAAGTTCTTAATAATTTTTGCATACCTAGATCACTTATCAAACGGAATAAGTGAAGTGCTTTTGTCCAGCATTCCAGCCAGGGATGGTATCATTTTTATAACACACTTTGATGCCTCTTATAATTATCACATCTAAGTTATTCCACACAGTTTAAGATGATGCCTAAAGAGGCTACCTGGAACAGAGGCTGGACAGTGTTAAAGGAATAAAGTATGTATTTACTAAAAGGCCTTCAAAGGATACACCTTGGGCAGTACCAGAGCCTAGCCGTGGCTCCACCCAAGATGGACAACTGGTCATGAGTTTTCACCCTTTTATAAGTTTTGGTTTATTTACATATTGGGGTTAATTGTCCAATTACAGCTTCAGGTTATCAAGTCCCTCTCCTCAATCCGCTATTTCCACTTTTTGGGCCTGAAACTGTAATGGTGCCCTTGGTTCTCAGCTGTCTAACTAAACTGTGAAGAGAACTTGCTAACACTTTATATGAAATTCAGACTCACACACCAGTGAAGTACAGAATCTGATAAGGCATCAAAAAAGGAAACTCCCAGATATACCTTACCCAATTATGTTTTAATCAGACTTCTCACTGGGATGCTTTATATTAATTTTGAGCAATGTACAACATCAGTGTTGCTGGAATTGCACTTAAGTACAACAATGAGGCTGATTAGGTAGTGTATCCTAATGAGTTCTGCCATGAGACTTTTTACTTAATAACTTGTTACGGTTCATTTCAGGCTTTTCCGTTTTTGTTCATGAAACACAAGCTTTGCCTTGAGTATTTTAATATTTGTTTAGGATGCTAAAGCTGATTAGCCCTTCTTGTTCTATTGTGTCATCAGACTCAACTGATCTACATGTGCTGGCATTCTCTGAAATACTTTTTTTGTCAGACTGTTAAAAGCTAAATAAATGAGCATAAAGCATTCATTTTTAGTGTTTATGGTTCAAGCTCTTACTCTTTTTAAACTATGAAATGATAAATCCCATTCTCCAGGTACAGTATTCATTTTGCAGGTCTTGTCTTTTGGTCAGCAACAAATTACTTTAGAACCAGTAAGCTAAAGTGAATAACAATAGGGCAGAAGGCTCATGGGCTGGGAAGTCAAACTTCTATTTTGTGTACAGTGGTACAGAGCACCCTCTTCTGCAATTTACAGGTATTGACTATAAATTGCAGAGCACTTGGGAGATTTTTCTAGATGTTAATCATGGATCTGCAATGAGCAATTGAGTACTCAAAAAAAAGTATCTTTGTGCAGTTTGCCTAATGATTATTGCTTCTTTAAAGTGCATTAAGATCTCACAGAAAGCACTAAAATGAGATCTAGGCCATTATGGTAATGTCCAAGGTGGCTGCATGGGAGATGGCTGCTGTAGTTAAGGAAGTGTAACAAGTCCCAGCTGCTATATCCATGTCTTCATCCACTGCTCCCTCCAACAAAGCCATTTTTAGCATTCTCAGGGTGGAACAAACAGTACTTCAGAGACCCCTGGCTTACATTTTACAAATCAACTTTATAAGGTACAAAGAGCTGATGAACGAGTATATTGTTAGAAGAGTTTTCAAAGGAAATTTTTTTTTTTTTTACTAACAAAAACATGGGCTGAAAAATGGGACGAGAGAATTAAAAAGACTTTTTTCATTTGAATGCAAGAATTGTTTCACTGGGATTTTTTTGTTTGGTTGGGTTTTTTTGTTTTTTATAATTAAAACTATTTTCCTCAACAGTAGCATTGAGAGTAAAGAACATTCAAGATGTTAGAGGTGTGATTTATCCTGAGGTGCCAGCTGGACACTAGATCAAGACAAAAAACCCAGGAAATTAAGAGGGCTGGGCAATCATCAAAGTTCACATGAAGTTCAACAAGGGAAAGTGCCAGATTCTGCACCTGGGATATGGCAACGCTGGGGCTGGGGAACAAGATGCGGGAAAGAAGCAGGAATGGGCCCTGAGGTGTCCTGGTCAATGGCAAGTTGACCATGAGTCAGCAGTGCCCTGGCAGCCAGGAGGGCCAGCTCTGTCCTCGGATGCATCAGGCACAGCATCACAGCCAGACAAGGGAGGGGATTGTCCTGCTCTGCTCTGAGCTGGGGCAGCCTCACCTCAAGTGCTGGGGGCAGGTTTGGGTGCCACTGATGCCTTTTGGGAATATCTAAAAACAGGCCAGACAAAATTAAGGGGAATAAAAAGCAGTTATATTTATTGAAGGCCCTTCAGGCAGACAAAGCCCCCTGCCAGGGGCTACACCCAAAATGGACAACGAGTCATAGGCATTCATACTTTTAAGTCTGGTCCATCTGCAGATTGGAGGTTAATCTTCCAATTGCAGCTCCAGGTAATGAAGTCACTTACCAAGTTTGCTCCTCCCAACTCACTTTTGTTTTGTTGCCTGAGACAGGAACGTGTCCTTGATTCCCAGGCCTGGAGAGGAATTGTTTTGTCTGACAAAAATGGGGAAAACAGGAGCTAACACTCTACATGGAGTTTAGAGTTATACGCTAAAGAATTGCAGGATTACAAATATATGAAAAATATAAATGCTAAAATCCTAAGGCATTATTACACTGTAAAAAAGATATTAAGCCACAAGAGAGGATCAACAAAGATGGTGAAGAACCCTGAGGGGAAGCCAAAGGAGGAGCGTCTGAGATCCCTTGGTTTGTTCAGCCTGGAGGAGACTGAGGGGAGACCTCACTGCAACTTCCTCATGAAGAGGAGGGGCAGACACTGATCTTGTCTCTTTGGCACCTAGTGACAGGACCTCAGGGAATGGCCTGAAGTTGTGTCAGGGGAGGTTTAGACTGGGTATTAGAAAAAGGTTCTTCATGCAAAGGGTGGCTGGGCACTGGAACAGGCTCTCCACAGAAGTGATCACAGCACCAGCCTGGCAGAGTTCAAGAAGTGTTTGGCACATGGTATGATTCTTGGGGAATGATGTTGTGCAGGGCCAGGAATGGGACCTGATGATCCTTGAGGGTCCATTCCAACTCAGCATATTCTGTGATTCTGTGAAATTTTAATTGTCTTCTTATCTCATGATGAATTTTCCTGATAAGCGTAACTTCAGGAATGGGTTGAATACTGGAACTTGGTTGATGGTGATACTATAGGCAGCAGCAGACAACATTTTAGTATCAGTTTATCCTTGAGCAATCACACCACTATTCTGCTTTCATTTGTAAACTGCTGTTCAAAATCAAGCGAGTGTATAGGGTGTTTTTTAGCAAGGAGGAGCAATCAGCAACTCACATCTCAGTAATAAAAATTCAGAGGCAGGTACTTGAGTTGGGATTTCAACATCCAGAGAAGTTTCTTATGCTTTGCAGTTGGATTTGACAGTTAACCTATCACTTGCTAGCGACCTTTATATTTACTGACTTTAGAACGTTTAATGTAGCACTTAACCTTTATGTCTTCCCTCTCCTCATTTACCTGAAAATTGTATATCTACTCCATACTAGTTTCTTTGAGCTACTAAAATCTCATGTATCAAAGTTAACAACAAAATAAAAACCAGGCAAAACAAAAGTTTCTAGCAGTGCTCCTTGAAGTAAAAAATGCAAAAATTACACTTGTGAAAACCAATGGTGCTATAACAGCTTTATTTTTTACTTAATACAAGGCAATTAGAGTGCCTTTTAATACTTCACATAACAGATATTAGCAAATACAAATATATATACTTTTTTTTGTTGTTTTTAATGAAAATGTCCATTTAAGGATTTAACTTAGAAATTTCAGTTGTGAAATCTCTCTAGATTTTTGCAAAGTTAACAGATATTCCAGTGCAAAAATAGATCCCATTACAGATAGCATAAAGTGCTTGGAACGAAGGACCAACTATAATTCAGGAGGGAAAGATAAGCACAAAAGTGGTTGTTAAACCATGGGGAAAATACAACAACTCCTTACTGAAATACAAATGTACTTACTACAAAGAGGGATGCAACATGTCAATAGTACTGAAGTTTAAAATAAGTTAACACCTCAGTGTAGTTTCATTATCAAGAGTGGTTCATATACTGTGTATGACTCTAGAGTGATTTTTCCCCAACACATACTTGAATGAATAAAAATTAGTGGCTATCTGAACGTCTTCCATGACAAATCTTCATGCCAGTGTTGCATTATGCTGTCTGTTCAGTACAAACAATGCAGATAAGAGCTGTGAAGCAGTTTGGTTAATATCCACATTTACTGCAACATTTCGTCACAGATAGCAGACCCTGTAAGCATGACAGTCATGGGGCAACAGAAAACAAGAATTTTTTTGGTGGGCTAAGGAAAGTGTATTATCATGTAACTGTTGTTTCCTGATACATGAATAATTTAAATGAGCAGTTACCAAGAGCAAACCACAGCCCTTTCAGGACCAAATCTGAATCCTCCTAGAACTCGTTCTAGCTCTACATGCACTAGTTTGGCACAGTGCAAAACGTTAGCCCTTCAATTCAGTAATGTAATGCTGATTTGTAATAGCGACTTTTAGCAGTGGCAAGCCTCCAGTACATGCTACTTGTTTCAATGATACCGCAACATACTTGCAGCCTGTTCTGGAGTAGTCATGGCTGTAGCTCTGCTGTTTCTGCACCTGGAAGTCTGGTGTATTCATCACCCTTTAACTCATCCCCGTAGAGTGATGATGTCATCATAAAGGTAATAACAAAGCATGTTTTAAGTGAGGTATACCAATCCCCTTTACACTCCGTCTCTCAATCCCCTTAGCAATGAATTATACAGATTAAAAAAAAAAAAAAAAGTATGAAAAAGGCACTTCAGCAGAGCCTGTACTAAGCTCTTACTTAACCTCAAGGCAGGACACAGAGGGACAAGGAACTTGTTTTAACTGTGTTTTAAAAATGTTGAGTTGGTCAGTGTTACCAAGTATACTTGGAAATATGTAATCAATCTTCTTCAGGCTCATGCCAGCCTTTTCAGTATTTGCTGGGCTGCTATGGTTATTCACCGAAGAAAATGGTCCATGATTTTTGATTCATGGAGTAGCATCAAAACCAGTGCAGAACTTCTGTGGGTATTTAAGGCAGAGGCATACAGGAACAGCTCAGGAACTGCACTTGTGTTCAAACCACATTACTGAACCAATTTTCGAATATAAAAGCAACACAGAGGGGCCCCAAAAGCATACTCTCCCATGACCGTTGTACAGTGTGAACAAGAATTGGTTGTTGTTACTATATAATTTCCCCTCTTAAATTAGTTTGGCTTTGTAAAACTTGAAAAATTCACTGATGAACTGAAGCACTATTATCTTGAACTCTCTTGTTTTTCAGGGGGATTTTTACTTAAACAGTTGTATGTCACATGTATAATAAGGGTGTATTCTCCAGTTAGGGATCACCTAATGACTGAAACTACACTGCGCAACAGAAGCGGAAACTTACACATTAATATTATACCAGTTTCCAAACAGGAAAATTTTAGGTGAACAACTTGCAGTTGTTTGCAGATAGCAG